TCTTCCCCGCAGCCCCGGCCCCAGCCTTCCCCCCAGCCGCCATCTCATCAGTTCTCTCCGCAAGTCCATCAGCACCCGTTCCCTCAGCAGCAGCTCCAGTTTCCACAGCAACCGTTACACCCTCAGCAGCAGAGACATCGTCCTCAGCAGCAGCTGCAGCCATTTCAGCAGCAGCATGCCTTGCAGCAGCAGCTCCAGCAGCTGCAGCAGCAGCAGCAGCAGCAGCTCCAGCAACACCAGTTAGCACACCACCAGCAGCAGCAGCAGCAGCAGCAACAACAGCAACACAACCTTCTCCAGCAGCAGCAGCAGCAGCAGCAGCAGCTCCAACGCCTGCACCAGCAGCAGCAGCAGCAGCAGATGCAGAATCCAGCAGCACACTTGAGTCAAACACCCCAGGCACTACAGCACCAGGTTCCACCCCAGCAGCCCCTGCAGCTGCCCCTGCAACCCCCGCCGCCACCGCCGCCGCCACCGCCGCAGCAGCAGCAGCAGCAGCAGCTCTTTGGACATGACCCAGCAGTGGAGAGTTAGTGCTGGTTCCTGTTTTCCCATAAGTTACAAGCTTGCATAAGTGCTCCCAGAATATGGCACCTATCAAATAATTGTCACACGTGGAGTGTGAGTCTCATACCTGTCATGCAGGCGTTACAGTGAGATAATTAGTGTTCTTTGTATTCTGCACACACTGCAGTGAGAGCCAGTGTTCACAGAGTGTCCAGACTGCCTCAGGGGAAATGCTGAGGGTTTAGTGCTTAGACCTGAATTAGGTCTTGTTTTTAATGCTGGTTTTGTATATAGATTAGAGGGTTTATAGCAACATTTCAAATGTAGTTAGATTATGGATTCCAACTAAACTCATCAAAATGCACTTTTAATTTCTGTTCACGTCTGTAACTCTAGTTCCAGAAGAAGGCTTCTTGCTAGGATGTGTGTTTGCAATTGCGGACTATCCAGAGCAGATGTCGGATAAGCAGCTGCTGGCCACCTGGAAAAGGGTGAGCTGGGGACGTGGGGGCTGTGTGCTTGAGGGGTGCAGGCCGGCTGCCTGGTTGACTGGCCTCATGAAACAAGTTCTGTGTGTGCGCTCTGGTACCATGAGTGCTGTCTGTCATCAGTGCTGCCCTCTGTGAGAGGTGCCTATCACTTTCTGGGCCTTTATCACTTAGGTGCTAAGTGGAATGTTGGGCTTCATGGTTCTTAGAAGTCCTTCAGGGATGATGGTTACTTGTAACTATCTTTTGGTGTGTGTAATTGTGGAATGATAGTACACATTTATTTACTCATTGTTTACTTGTTATTTTTTTTTAATGTATGCCTGTAAAGGAAAAGAAAAGTTTGGAAAGGTTTTCTTCTAATCATGCTTCAAATCAAAATAGAGCACCGTCATCCCATCAGATAAAAACTGAGTTTAGAGTGGAAACCTACCTTGAGTATCTGTCACTCTACGCATCCCTCCTGTGCTTAGGCCTCTGCCAGGTGCCGGTGCGGCCATACTAGGCAATGCTGAATTGGCAGAGGCTGGGCAAGCCACCAGGACAGAGGGGGTGTTGTGTGGTGTGGCTAGAGAAGGTCTAGGACATGCAGGATCCTGGGAAGGTTGGACAGGGCTTGTTAAAGCTGGCAGAGGTGACCATGAGACTGTCCATGGGAGGAGCTAGAGCAGGGGTGAGGGAGGTGGTGCAGACAGAGCAGCCTAATGAAGGTGTGCCTGTGACATGATGGGGACTGCCATCGAGTCTAGTCCTGGGCAGTTCTTGAGTGAGGGTGGTCATAGGTGAGGCTTGTCTGTCTTCCAGGCTTATTAGGTGCTAGGATGGTAGGATTTGGATTATCCTTACAAGCTGTAGAGAAAAGAGGTGGGTGAGTGGAGTAGTTAGATTCTGTGTTGTGTGCTAAGGAGACTTTGGGCTCCCCAGGAGAGTGAATGGCGGGCCAGGAGAGGATGAGGTGTGAGGGATAGGGCTGGGGAGCCAGAGGGGGCTGCAGTGGCAGAAAAGTAGGGAGAATTGGGAGTTGTGGAATGGAGTATTGAGAAGCTTCATGAAAAGGTAGAACTAGAATCAAAGACCATGAGACAATAAAGTGTGTTATTTCATATGCTTGTTTGAGGCAGGGTCTCCCCAGAAGCTGTCCTTGAACTCCAAGGATGACCTTGAACAACTTCTTGTAGCCACTTGGGATTACAGGCATGTGCCAGTTTCTGTGGTGCTGGGGACTTAGCCCAGGGCCTCTTGTGTGTTAGACAAGCTTGGCCAGCCAAGCCAACACTCCTCATCAGTTTAGCTTTCTAACGACTGTTTGAAGGATTACACCGAGGGCAGCAGCACAAGGTTCTTGTTTTGGTTTTGGTCTTGGTTTTTTTTTTTTTTTTTTTTTTTTTTTTTTTTTTTTTTTTT